CAGGTCACTGTCCAATGAGGGATGTATTTACCTGACTTGTGTCACTGTCCAATGAGGGACGCACTACCTGACCCAGGTCACTGTCCAATGAGGGACGCACTACCTGACCCGGGTCACTGATCAATGAGGGATGCACTGCCTGACCTAGGTCACTGTCCAATGAGGGACGCACTGCCTGACCCATGTCACTGATCAATGAGGGACACACTACCTGACCCGTGTCACTGACTCCTTGATATAAATTCCTCATTTGTCTACAGAGGTGTCTGTTGACCATTGTTAAATCACTCCCTGAGTCATGCGGACCCCATGCACAGAGAACAAGACACTGTCTGATTCTGCACCGTCCCCACGATCGGTTACATAGCGGACCACTGTAATCCATAGAATTCTCACTGGCTAACTTTTGAAAACGGATGGCCAAGTCTTTCTTCCTAGTCTGGTACTTCTGCTAAAATCTGTTGAGCATCCCAGCAACACGTAAGTCTCCACTGACAGGGCAGAGCAGTGGAGGTAGTGGGTGAGCCGCATGGACAGGAATCTCCAGAAGTCCACCACTGGACCACCACCCACCCCTGAGGTGGTTATGTGTCGTGGAGTCGGTTCCAACACACAGCAACCCTGAATAGAGTTTCCGAGGCTGTAAACCTTTACAGGAACAGACAGCCTCATCTTTCTCCCGTGGAACAGCTGCTAGTTTCGAACTGCTGACCTTGAGATTCACAGCCTGACTCGTAACCACTATGCTACCAGAGCCCCCTGAGGCAGCTCACTGAAATCAGTATTTCCCAATGTAGAGAGAGCCATCTGGGTTATTCTGCAGATCCCTGTGTCCTACCCACCCCGAGGACAGTGGTTCCTGGGATAGGGGCTGGGAATCAGCATTTAAACAATCTTACCTGCTGATTCTGATGTGGATGGTCCAGGGGTTCCACACTTAGAAAAGCTAGTGTGTTAAGTGTTGGGTTGCTAACCACAGAGTCAGTGGTTCAAACCCACCTGCTGCTCCAAGAGAAAGATGAGGCAGACCATTCCCATAAAGACTGACCGTCTCAGAAACCCTAAGGATAAGCGCTCCTTTGTTTCTGCAGGGTCTCTGTGAGTCAGAATTGACTCGATGGCAGTGGCGGGGAACTTAGATTGAATGTCAAACTCATACCCACATGGCTGCCCTGAGAAGCCTACTTGTAATCACAAAAATCAGTCCGTTCAAACCTTAAAAAGAACAAACACTTTCTCTGTGACAGGAACTGTTTTGAATACACCTACGAACTTGCTTCATCCTTCAATCATCGAATGATGTAAATGTGGTCAGGGATCACATTTACAGATGAGGAAAATGGGGCACTCTTCTTGTTGAACAGGACCTCCCTCCTAGGGCTGGCGTGATGATTGAAGGAGTGTGTATGTATACAGGAGCTGGCCTACGGAACACACTCTAACTGTTAGTCCGCTAGCCAACGTCACTCTCAGAAGGTAAAGAGGTGGAGCTGGTGTCCTTGTTCCTGACCCACCTGTAAATCACGAGTTCTACCCCGAAAGACTCTCTTCTCCTGTGACCTGGAGTCAGAGAGAATGAGGCCTCTGGCCCCTGAGGACCCATCTGCACTCTAGTAAGTAAACTCTCACCCGAGTCTAAACTTCACCTCTTTCCAGTCAGGGAGCAGTTGGAAGGCACCCCCATAGCTGTCCCCAGGACTGTGCCCTCCCCAGGCCGTCATGGGAGGATGACCTCCATTTCCTTTCATACAATCTCTTGTTTTCAAATGCTGGGTTCAGTTCTCTGCTGGCCTCAGCCTCACGTATCCTTCCTCCCTTGTGGTTAGCAGTCCAGTGTTTATCCTACAACGCCACACCAGGACTCCAGGAAGGTGAATCCTGTGTGGCACCTACTGTAGGACAAACACTAGACTGCTAACCACAAGGCTGGTGGTTCTGGAGGTTCAAATCCACCGGCCACTCCTCGGAATTCCTATACAGGGTCGCTATGAGTTGCGACCAACTCAAAGGCACTTAACAACAATAGCAACTAAATCTTAATGAGCAAACCACTGAGGATTATGTCCTAGCCAAGTTGCTACAAAACTCTAACTCTCACTCCCTGGATGTCTCCCTAGGTTGCCAGCCTTACCTGAGACCTTCTTCACCATGGCCCACAATCCAATGAGCTCACACCCAGCGTACAACTATTTCTAGCCTTTGTTCTGCTCAGACATCAACCCTGTCCTCCACCCATCACGGTCCACAAGCAGGAAGAAGAAGACAGGCGCTTGGGAAGGATCACCAGGTGTATTTCTTCTTGGGCTCAGAAAGCAGCCTCCTCCTCCCCTCCCGTCACCAGCTCTGTGACCCTGAGGAATCACGTGGCTTTCCTGAGTCTCAGTGCTCTGCTCTCTAAACAGGAGATGAAGATTTACCACCAGAGAGCCCCTATGCCCTGACTCCCGGTGTTAAGGAGTTACTGGGACTCTACCCAGCAGTAGTGACTGTGGATAAATCCCCCACTGCCCCACAGACAAACACCATTCTGTAGGCTCCCAGCCTCAGGCTCCACCTAGAACTGGGGTCGGTCCACCATACGCATATACTGGGAGGAAACACTAGGGATTTCATTGAGGCAGGAGTTGGGGAGGTGAAACTTACAAACCCTGGGCAAGAAGAGCCAAATGGAAGATACTAAACAACAGAGAGTGGTTCAGTGCACGGTAAGGAGCTAGAGTGAAAACAGCAGCTATTGGTCCCTGTTGTTATTAAGTGCTGTTGAGTCAGTTCTGACTCATAGTGATCCTGTATAGGGTTTCTGAGAGCAGCTGGTAGATTTGAACCGCTGAATCACTGACCTTTTGGTTCACGATCCCGTGTTTATCCTACAGTGCAGGAGTCTGCCTCATGTTTGGTCCCTAGCCACCTTCTATTCAGATCCCACAGAACAAGGGCAGTGAAAAAGAGAAACACCAATCCAAACAAGGCGGATTGGCATAGTAATGGCAGCCGCACTGTTATGCACAGGGCTGCTATGAGTTGGAATGGACTCCACTACACCTAATAATAACAACAATTCCCACGACAGCTCGAATGGTGGTATCAGTTACCACCAAGCTGGATCCACCTCAGGGTGACCCCGTGGGGCACCATCTTCACAAGTCCTACGAGGCAGGCACTGTTATCCTTTACAGGGACGTTCAAAGACACCCAAGTTCACTCAGACAGGAACTGCAGAGGCGAGGCGAGGCTCTGGCCCCACCAGCCCTCTGGCTTGTCTCTCACGCTCTCTCTCTGTTTTTGTTTTTAATTTTTAACTTTTCATTGTGAGCTGGGTGAAGTTTTACAGAGCAAGTCAGTTTTCCATTCGACCACTCACACACATTTTACTTCATGTCGCTAACATCCCCTATCCCGCTTCCTCGCTGTGTTTCCTGTTTCCATTCCTCCTGCTTTCCAAACCCTTCCTGTCTTGGGAACTTTGTCCAAATACTGCCCTTTGGATTTCTCATGGTTGACTTTATAGATCTCTTTACTGTTTGGCTGAAACTTGACTCACAGGAAATGAGTTCTGTTCCAGACCTGAAGGGTGACCAAGGGTCATAGTCTCAGGCTGGGGGAGCGGGGGTTACTGTTACCAATTTCTATCTAACTAGTAGAGCCCAGGTGTGGTGCTGTGGGTTAATGCACGGATGGCAAGGTTGGTTTGAACCACAAAGTCGGTGGTTCAAGCTCACCAGCTGTTCCTTGGAAGCCCTACACAGTTTCGCTGTGAGTCAGGACCCACTCGACAACACATAACAACAACAACGTATTTGATCAAACATTTAATTAATTCCAGGTGTGGTGCTCTGGGATCATGCACTGGACCGCAAGATTGGTTTGAACCACAAGGTGGCCGGTACAGACTCACCAGCTGCTCCTCAGAAACCTTATACAGGGTCTCCATGAGTTGGAACTGATTCAACGGCACTTAACAATAACAACAACAGATGGCTGGGACTGCAGTTGCCTTGGCAGAGTCAGACCAAATTATTTCGTGGGCCTTACGTGGCCTGTGGGCCAGACGTTCCCCACCCCTGCTCTATTGAGACACTTTTCCAAGTGGTCCGCAGTGGTAGCTGGGCACCATCTAGTTCGTCTGGTCTCAGGGTCTGTGTAATCAATTAGGGTCTGGCTTGTGTCTTGCCACCTGCTCCATGGTACCTTCTCCTTGGGAGCAGAGGTATCAACGAGGGTGAAGAGCTCCCCAGATTAGGCTCTGATGGGTGCTCGAATCTGAATACCCAGGACTCTTACCTGAATACGGCTGATAAGTTGCTTGCTATAAACTAGTTTGGGAGGCTGTGCAGGGAGAAAGTCTGAGTTGGGTTTGATCTGTCTAGCAGAGCCCTCTGATGCTTCCACTTCAGAGGGTTCTCTGTGAGCTGAGGCCAGGTCAGGGGTCTGCCTTGGCCCACTGTCCTTTGGAATAAGACAGTCTGCTCTCTGCTCCCCTATGGAGAGCTTTAGC